CACCACCACCACACCCAAAAAAAAAAACGAAAAAAAAAAAATCACGACCACCAAAAAAAAAAACAAAAAAAAAAAAATCACCACCCCAAAAAAAAAAAAACAAAAAAAAAAATCGTCATCATCAAAAAAAAAAAAATAAAAAAAAAAATCATCATCATCAAAAAAAAAAAATCAAAAAAAAAAACACCATCACCATAAAAAAAAAAACCAAAAAAAAAAACATCATGACCATAAAAAAAAAAACCAAAAAAAAAAACATCACCATCATAAAAAAAAAAACCAAAAAAAAAAACATCATGACCACAAAAAAAAAAATCAAAAAAAAAAACATTACCACCATAAAAAAAAAAATCAAAAAAAAAAACGTCGTCGTCATAAAAAAAAAAACCAAAAAAAAAAACACCACCGTCGTAAAAAAAAAAACCAAAAAAAAAAACACCACCACCACAAAAAAAAAAACCAAAAAAAAAAACACCATCATCACAAAAAAAAAAACCAAAAAAAAAAACACTATCACCACAAAAAAAAAAATCAAAAAAAAAAACATAGCAGCTACAAAAAAAAAAATAAAAAAAAAAAAGCATGCACGGCAAAAAAAAAAAAACAAAAAAAAAAACACTTAGTCCTCAAAAAAAAAAAGCAAAAAAAAAAATAGAGTGACTCTAAAAAAAAAAACAAAAAAAAAAAACTGGTACGTGGTAAAAAAAAAAATCAAAAAAAAAAATTTGAATCCATAAAAAAAAAAAACTAAAAAAAAAAATCTACTGTTCCCAAAAAAAAAAAGGAAAAAAAAAAACCATTTCCTCCTAAAAAAAAAAAACAAAAAAAAAAAGTGCCCCCCCAGAAAAAAAAAAACAAAAAAAAAAAACCTCTGTAACCCAAAAAAAAAAAGTAAAAAAAAAAATCCCTCCACAGGAAAAAAAAAAAGGAAAAAAAAAAAACCAGTTTGTGAAAAAAAAAAAACTAAAAAAAAAAACCAATCAGATCCAAAAAAAAAAAAGAAAAAAAAAAAGTGCGGTAGAGGAAAAAAAAAAACAAAAAAAAAAAATCCGGTGCGTTCAAAAAAAAAAACTAAAAAAAAAAAGGCTGTGTCGCAAAAAAAAAAAAGGAAAAAAAAAAATTGCAGGGGCCGAAAAAAAAAAAGGAAAAAAAAAAACTTGGGCAAGGTAAAAAAAAAAACTAAAAAAAAAAATCCCCATCTGTAAAAAAAAAAAATTAAAAAAAAAAATTTTCAACGACTAAAAAAAAAAAATAAAAAAAAAAACGTGCAGAAGAAAAAAAAAAAAACAAAAAAAAAAAACACGTAGAGTTAAAAAAAAAAAATAAAAAAAAAAAAATATGCCACATCAAAAAAAAAAACAAAAAAAAAAAAACCCGAGATGATAAAAAAAAAAACCAAAAAAAAAAAAACTGGAAAGTTAAAAAAAAAAACGAAAAAAAAAAAACCAGAGAAGTTAAAAAAAAAAATCAAAAAAAAAAATATAAAACCAAGAAAAAAAAAAAGCAAAAAAAAAAAGAAGCCCGAGGCAAAAAAAAAAACCAAAAAAAAAAAGGAGGGACTGGGAAAAAAAAAAAAGAAAAAAAAAAAAGAGTAGTCAGGAAAAAAAAAAAACAAAAAAAAAAAGACTGAAAGAGAAAAAAAAAAAATTAAAAAAAAAAAGGCCTTGTTTGCAAAAAAAAAAACCAAAAAAAAAAATCTGTGCCAAGTAAAAAAAAAAACCAAAAAAAAAAACTTCCAGAACAGAAAAAAAAAAAGGAAAAAAAAAAACACAGAAATGGGAAAAAAAAAAACAAAAAAAAAAAAGCACAGGCAGAGAAAAAAAAAAACCAAAAAAAAAAAGGCTGTCCCGTGAAAAAAAAAAAACAAAAAAAAAAACTGGTGAGGGCTAAAAAAAAAAAGAAAAAAAAAAAAAGCCTGCTCAGGAAAAAAAAAAACAAAAAAAAAAAACTCTAATTACCCAAAAAAAAAAAACAAAAAAAAAAACAAATGCAGATCAAAAAAAAAAAACAAAAAAAAAAAGATGGGAGTCCCAAAAAAAAAAACCAAAAAAAAAAAATCCGTCTGTGCAAAAAAAAAAAATAAAAAAAAAAACCAAAGTGAACAAAAAAAAAAAAGGAAAAAAAAAAAGACACTTCCTTCAAAAAAAAAAACCAAAAAAAAAAACTGCGTGTTTTCAAAAAAAAAAAGAAAAAAAAAAAAGGGTGCAGTCGGAAAAAAAAAAACTAAAAAAAAAAAGCCCCATCATGTAAAAAAAAAAATAAAAAAAAAAAAGCCCCATGCTGGAAAAAAAAAAAGGAAAAAAAAAAACAGAGGGGGCCCAAAAAAAAAAAGAAAAAAAAAAAAATATGCGCTCCCAAAAAAAAAAACCAAAAAAAAAAACTAATTTGGCCCAAAAAAAAAAATCAAAAAAAAAAACCGTGTCCGGGAAAAAAAAAAAAGTAAAAAAAAAAAGGCCCCTGTGGGAAAAAAAAAAAACAAAAAAAAAAACTGAGGGCCACGAAAAAAAAAAAGCAAAAAAAAAAAGCATCAGGATGGAAAAAAAAAAATCAAAAAAAAAAATTCCCTCCCCCAAAAAAAAAAAATGAAAAAAAAAAAACAGGGGCGAGGAAAAAAAAAAATTAAAAAAAAAAAGAGACAGTCTGGAAAAAAAAAAAGCAAAAAAAAAAACAGGACAGGGCGAAAAAAAAAAATGAAAAAAAAAAAGTGTGTCTGGGTAAAAAAAAAAATCAAAAAAAAAAATTCCAACATCTCAAAAAAAAAAAGTAAAAAAAAAAACCCCGAGCATTGAAAAAAAAAAAGCAAAAAAAAAAAGCACCGTGCTTGAAAAAAAAAAAGTAAAAAAAAAAACGTGCCGGGGCTAAAAAAAAAAATGAAAAAAAAAAAGCATGGGGGCAGAAAAAAAAAAAAGAAAAAAAAAAATGGCCCCTCTCTAAAAAAAAAAACTAAAAAAAAAAACACAGATTTTTCAAAAAAAAAAAATAAAAAAAAAAAACTGTGTCTTAGAAAAAAAAAAATCAAAAAAAAAAACTGTCTAGCTGGAAAAAAAAAAAGCAAAAAAAAAAACCCCAGTGAGGCAAAAAAAAAAAGCAAAAAAAAAAACAGTGGAGTGGGAAAAAAAAAAAGTAAAAAAAAAAAAAGGGAACCCCCAAAAAAAAAAAGCAAAAAAAAAAACGTCCTAGAAGGAAAAAAAAAAAGGAAAAAAAAAAACCTCTAGCTGTGAAAAAAAAAAAAAAAAAAAAAAAAGTGGGCCTCATTAAAAAAAAAAAGAAAAAAAAAAAATTATGGCCGCCTAAAAAAAAAAAGGAAAAAAAAAAACAACTGTGCACAAAAAAAAAAAAAGAAAAAAAAAAATATTTGCCAAAGAAAAAAAAAAACAAAAAAAAAAAACCTCCCTCATATAAAAAAAAAAACCAAAAAAAAAAAAGACAGAACCACAAAAAAAAAAACCAAAAAAAAAAAGAGACCTGGTCTAAAAAAAAAAAACAAAAAAAAAAACCCAACCCCAAGAAAAAAAAAAAGGAAAAAAAAAAAAGTCTTCCATCTAAAAAAAAAAAATAAAAAAAAAAAGTGGGGAGCCCTAAAAAAAAAAAAGAAAAAAAAAAAGCCTCCAGGTGGAAAAAAAAAAACTAAAAAAAAAAATCCTCTCCCCCAAAAAAAAAAAAGCAAAAAAAAAAAATCTCTGTTCCTAAAAAAAAAAAACAAAAAAAAAAAAGGAGGAGGGCCAAAAAAAAAAAATAAAAAAAAAAACAGAGCTAATAGAAAAAAAAAAAAGAAAAAAAAAAACGCCTCGCCCTCAAAAAAAAAAACTAAAAAAAAAAACCTGCACCCAGTAAAAAAAAAAATGAAAAAAAAAAACGGACAGGAGCCAAAAAAAAAAAAGAAAAAAAAAAACAGGGGGCATGGAAAAAAAAAAACAAAAAAAAAAAAAGTATGTCCCTTAAAAAAAAAAAAGAAAAAAAAAAAGGGGGGAGGGGGAAAAAAAAAAAGGAAAAAAAAAAACCCGGAGGGGCAAAAAAAAAAAAAGAAAAAAAAAAACAGGGACACAGAAAAAAAAAAAACAAAAAAAAAAAAGGCTTTGCTCGAAAAAAAAAAAAGCAAAAAAAAAAAATGCCAAAAGGTAAAAAAAAAAAGCAAAAAAAAAAACAGGGGAGATGAAAAAAAAAAAAAAAAAAAAAAAAAGATTTGGCACGTAAAAAAAAAAAAGAAAAAAAAAAAGTCTCTACAGAAAAAAAAAAAAAGAAAAAAAAAAAACACTCGGTAGGTAAAAAAAAAAAGAAAAAAAAAAAATCCCACGGTGGCAAAAAAAAAAACCAAAAAAAAAAATGAAAGCCCAGCAAAAAAAAAAAGCAAAAAAAAAAAAGATGAGGCTGTAAAAAAAAAAATGAAAAAAAAAAAGTAGATACCACCAAAAAAAAAAATCAAAAAAAAAAACTCCC